GCTTGACGCAAACCTGTTTCTGAGCTCTACAGGCAGTTCTTTTGACCTCAGGGCTTGGTTTTTGCTCTGATATGCATTATCAGCTGTTAGACCTTTTATTAAGATGTGTGTGCCTTTCCAAATCATACCCATTCAATTGAATTTGCCACAGGTTAACTTCACTCGAAGTGTAGTAACATCTACAAGCAATATGAATGCTCCTGAGCTAAATCTCAACTGTCCCAGATAAGGATATGAGTACTAATGCAATGACAACATTTAAGTTTTTTTTTTTTTTATACATTTGCAAAGTTGTTAAAACCCATTTTTTTGCTTTACCATTATGGTGTATGGAGTGTAGATTGTTGTGGAAAAAAGTAATTTAAAGTAGTTTAACATAAAGCAGCAACATAATAAATCATGAAAAAAAATGAAGGGGTATGAATACTTTCGCAAGGCACTATGTGTGTGTATTTATATATACATACAAATATACACAGTAAACACATAAACACCTGGCATTTAAAATATATATTTAAATGCCAGGTTTCACTGCAGTTGTTTTTAAACAATAAAAATCAGTACTTTTGTCTTTCCAGTTACACATGCCTAAACAAGTTAGATTTCCTATTTCCTATTTTTTTTTGCTATTTCTTTTATTGTGCAGTATTATTAAACAGCCTTAAATAAGTTGCCGTTTTCTTCTTGTTTTATGCAAAATCTCATTTTATTCAGATTTTTTTCATAAAACAAGATATGTGATTTTGCTTCTCAAGTTAATGTGTTAATGCTTTACGAATGTTTTGATATTTATACTGGAAAACAAGACAAAGTAGGGAAATAATTTTCTTGAGATGTTGAGCCATTATATGGATGTCATGGATGTTATCAAATAGAGGATTGTCTTAATGTCGTTGCTGTTATTTTTTAGGTAGAAAGACATGATTATTTTATAACACCGCACTCAATGCGATTTATCTTTTCTGTGAAAGTCAATCTAATGACGCATCAGGCATCATTCGGTCTGACGAAGGAAGGTAATGGGCTCAGTCAGAATGAAGATTTTCTTGAAAATAAATACTGATTACTTAACTATAAACCTTAAAAAAAGCTATAAATTGTCTTTTTTTTCTTCAGCTTTGGTCAGTGGATAGATTATATCCAAATGTGTCCTAATGGATTCGTAACAGCTTTTCAGTTGAAAGTTGAATCTTCCCAAGGAATTGGTGATGATACGGCCGTAAACAACATCAGGTGAGTTTTTGTCATTCTGCTTAGAGTTTGCCATTTAGGGTCTCAGTTTTCCCTCATGAAGCTGCTCAATTAAGCAACATCAGTCAATACGAGGCATGAGGCCGCAGGAGAGAATCAGACCAATAACACGATTATATTGCTTTTACTCAATTTTTATAAACAGTAAAGTAATAGGTCAATTAATTCATATACTGAAAGTATACATACATATAAAGGCTCATAATATCGATTGCAGGATCAACTGTTTTCTTTCAGTGTCTGAAATGCTTCGATCAAGGATTCAGTCTCTAAACCCCACCTTTGCTCTGATTGGTCAGAAACCAAACTCCTATTATCATATCTGAGGGTGTATTCACACCTGTCTTGTTTGGTTCGATTGAAACTAACTCAGGTTCGTTTCCCCCTTTGGTGCGGATCTTTGGGGCAGGTGTGAATACAGTAATCGCACTCAGGTGCGCACCAAACAACCGCACCGAGACCCAGCTGAAGAGGTGGTCTCGGTCCGCTTCCAAACAAACTCTGGTACGGTTCGGTTAAAAGTTTCTCCATGATTAGCCTGTTTTTGCACTTCCTGTTTTTCCCTGCTTGAGAATTTCTGTCCTATGAATGGATGACCTTAGCATACGTGTGGTTTTGTTTACAATTTCTGGTTCGCTTGCAAAAAGGGCAGTGTGAAAGCGAACCGCACCA